ATCAGCTCCCCCACCACGTCGCTGAAATAAGGAAATTTCCCAGCCTAACAAGCGACAGCCCCCTGGGTTGTTGTCTATGCGGCGTGGTAGCGTTGACTGGCGCCACTGCGTTGGTCCGGGCGCTGGCGGCACGATTCGCGGTCGCGTTAACGGCACGTCGTCACTCTGGGCTCGCGGTCGGGCACTTATCGTCATGGCCCACTTCGATTGTTGAAAATCAGCACCCCTAGTCGGTGTGAGATGTGTCGACGAGGCAAGGCATTCGGGCGGCGGCGCGGAGCCAATGGATCCGCTGGCGTCCCCCGTGAGGTGAATCTGAACGTGCAGGATCAGAATGCAGAAAACAGAATGTTGAATGTGCAGGATCAGAACTGAGAATGAACGAGCTAGCGGCTTTAGTTTAGCTTAGCGGCTTCGTAGGCTCCGCGGGTCACGTGATCCGCTCCCGCTTCATTTCCCGCGATTGGCAGGCGCACGACACGCGATTTCTTCCACCCTATCGCGGCGTCGTTGAATTGGATCAATGCCTTATTTTACTTGGCGAGACTCGGGCAATCAGGCCCGCTCTTCCGTCTGACCACGCAAATTTCGCTACGCTCCTTTCACAAACTAGCAGAAAGGCAGCAACTAGCAGGAGGTATTTCTTGGGCGACAAACAGGCAATTTGAATTTAGCTCAGAGGCGGCATTTAGGCTTGAGGATCTTTTACATGCAAGTAAATCTACTAACAAGGGACAGCCGGCTTTACTTCCCCTCCGAAGGAAGGCCTACGAAGGATTTTTCGCCCTTAAAACGGTTTCGATCGGGTTTGAACCCGCTAACCTGGGTACGCCAGTCCGATACGCTAACCGTTACACCATCGCCGCCGCATCGTTGAGGGATGCCCGCGCCTTGCCAAATTCTGCAAAACCCGAACGTCATCCGAGTTCCGAGAAAAGGGCTCGGCGGCGGTGCGTCGCTCGGAGGGGGAGGCGTCCGTACCTGAGTCACCGGGTGTGGCCTGGCGTGGGTTGCGCCGAAAAAACGGGTTGGATTTCTCAGCGTCCCGAAAGCGCACGCTGGTAGAGGAAAACAGCACGTTTCCTGGAGTATTTCTCAGCGTCGTTATACACAATATAATTTTATAAAATACGCGGCCCCACCTGACGCGTGCGACCGCCCCATTACATTTCATGCCAGGCGTGTGAATCTATGTGCAGCTGAACTAATAGTTTCCAGTGATTGTGTTTTATAGCTATGTGTTAAGTGCTTAAACGCATGCCATGATTCTGGCTGTTATGTAATGAGATATCCTGCTGTTCAGCTTCATGGCTGTGGCAACACTGCAGCAGTCGCTGTGACGGAATCCACCGCCACCATCGCCTCCTGTCA